GAACGGAACTGGAAGGTGCCAACTACCAACTGGAGAGACAGTAATCTATTCCGGCCACCTAGAGGACAACCACGAGCACACCGAGGGAGTGGCCATCATGATGTCACCAACAGCAACCAAAGCTCTCATGCAGTGGGAACCAATCTCCTCCAGGATAATGACAGCCAGGTTCAACTCAAAAGGAAGGAAAGTTACAGTCATTCAATGTTATGCGCCTACAAACGTCTCAGAACAAGAGAAGAAGGAGGCGTTCTACAGACAACTACAAGCAATAATGGACAACGTCCCAAATGGCGATATCAAAATCCTGATGGGCGACATGAATGCGAAGCTGGGAGGAGACAACACAGGAAGAGAACTCACCATGGGTCGAGAGGCCCTCAGTTAAATGAACGACAATGGTGAACTCTTCTCAGACTTCTGCGCCTTCAATGATTTGGTGATTGGTGGTAGTGTGTTCAAACACAAGGATATACACAAGACGACATGGATTTCACCAGATGGAAACACCAAGAACCAAATAGACTTCATCTCAATTTCAAGAAAGTGGAGACGGAGCCTACTGGACACAAGGTCGAGGAGAGGAGCAGATGTGGGTTCAGACCACTATCTAGTACAAGGGACTTTCAAGGTGAAACTAAAAGCCTCGAGGATAGCTGGGGATAGGCCACAATGCAAGTTCAACACTCAGAAACTGAAGGACACAACCACAAAAGACACTTTCACTGCAACTGTCAGAGCAAAGCAGGAAACACTACGCGACATCACTGAAGAATCATGCGTGGAAGAACATTGGAAGTCTCTGAAGGCGATTCTCAACGAAACGTGTTCAACGGTTCTAGGAAGAAAGAAGAGACAAGACAAGGAATGGCTCTCAACGGACACTTGGAAATTAATAGAAGAGAGGAGAATGGTGAAAGAGAAAATGATTCAATGCAAGGACGGACAGGAGAAGGAGACGCTGAGCTCAACTTACAAAGCACTGGACAAAGAAGTGAAGAAGAGTGCTAGGAAGGACAAAAGACGATTCTACGACAACCTGGCCACTGAAGCTGAAAAGGCAGCAGGCAAAAGGGACCTGAGGACATTATATCAGATAACCAAATCTCTATCCGGGAAGAGATCAACACAAGCGAAACCTATAAAAGACAGCCAAGGGAACCCAATTACCAAGGAAGAAAAACAGATTAAACAATGGGCGGATCACTTCAAAGGACTCTTGAACCGACCATCACCTGCAACCCGTCCAGAAATACCAACAACAGCACAAACACAACTGCAAGTTGACACCAATCCTCCAACGAGAGCTGAAGTCTTGAACACAATCAAGCTTCTGAAAGCTGGAAAAACAGCCGGACCAGATGGAATACCCCCTGAAGCACTGAAAGCGGACCCAGAGACTACAGCAGACATGCTGACTCCATTATTGCAAAAGGTCTGGAAGGAGGGAAAGGTGCCTACTGACTGGAGGAAAGGTTACCTCGTGAAACTACCAAAGAAGGGCGACTTACGCCTCTCTCTGCAAGAACTGGCGAGGAATCATGCTCCTATCGACGCCAAGTAAAATCCTGAGTCGCATCATCCTGGAGAGATTAAAGGACGCACTGGAGACAGAACTCCGACCAGAACAAGCTGGATTCAGGAAAGGCAAATCATGTACTGACCAAATTGCAACTCTACTCATCGTCATCACAGAACAAAGCATGGAATGGCAATCAAACCTCTACCTCAACTTTATAGACTTTGAGAAGGCCTTCGACAGCGTTGACCGCGAAGTAATTTGGAAACTACTCGAGTACTATGGCGTACCCCAAATATTCATCAACCTTATTCAACAGCTGTACGACAACGGCACATGTCAAGTGATCCACAACGGAAAACTCAGCAAGGCGTTTGGAGTAAACACAGGAGTCAGACAAGACTGCCTGCTATTATCACCAATGATATTCCTAATTGTGGTGGACTGAATCATGCGTCAGACAGTGGGAAACGAGAAGACAGGAATATCCTGGACAGACGACGTGAAGAACCTAGAAGACCTGGATTTCGCACGTGGATGATTTATGTTTGATGTCACTCACAAAATCGAAGACCTACAAGAGAAAACCGACAAATTGGTTGAAGAAGCAGTTGGCGAAGACAGGACTCCACGTGAACATAAACAAGACGGGGGTTATGAAAATAACCAGCCAACAACAACATCACCAACATCCAGCGCCAGTCACCATCAATGAGAGGGATTTGAAAGAGGTTACTTCATTCACTTATCATCTAGGGAGCATTGTCTCAACTATAGGAAGTCGGAACGGACGAGGATGTCAAATCGAACGAGAATCGGGAAGGCGAGAAACACGTTCATCAACCAACTGAAACCAATCTGGAAATCTACGTCACTCATCTCAGCATCAACAACAAAATTCGGTCGGATTTTCAATACAAATGTCAAGTCAGTTCTTCTATGCGGATCAGAAAGTTGGCGGGTGGGTCACAAAGAATATTTCCAACAGCCTGTTGCAGACCAGACCTTTATCAACAACTGTCTTCGCTGACTCTAAACTGAAGATCAGATGGCCGGGCCGGAAAGAATCACCAACAAGAAACTATGGGAAGGAACAAACAAAACAAGAAGCAATCACCAACTAACAAATATGCAGGAAAAAGTGGAGATGGATTGGATACTCGTTGGGGAGACCGCTTGGTGACATCGCGCGCGCGTCAGGCTATTGCTCGAGTGGAACCCGAAAGGGAAGTGAAGACAAGGGGACGTCAGTGCAAGGGTGACATGGAGGAGATCGTGCGAAGAGGAGTTGAAGGAATATGGACTAACATGGATTCAGGCGAAAAGTACAGCAGAAGACAGAAGCAAGTGGAGACGTGCAGTTGTGAAGCCCTATGTTCCACTAGGAACCCAAGGGAGCAATAATAATAATAACCAGACAACTTCTGCAATGAACATGAAAATATGATCACTTTTTTTTCTGTATCGTAGTAAGAGGTGAAGCCTTCAGATTTCATATTAGGCAACTACTTATCATTCAGTTTGTGCATCATCGGTGGTACAACGATAGAATGCTTGCCAACCACACACAGATAGTTCGGGGTTCAATCATCGACCACAGACGCATTCTTTTACCTCACTAAGCCAGTAATAGGACTAGTAAAGAGGGAAAGTTTCCGGGGGGGGGGCATGAGGCTAGCGACCCCATCCCGTAAGAAATAAACACCAATGCTACGAAAACTTCAAGCTCATAGCTTGAAGCCCTAAAGGTTTCACTGGGAACGTAAAAGGAATTTTTTAAAAATTTAAAAAATCATTCAGTCATCAGGTTGACGATATATGAAGATCAAAGAATAGAGGATGATACAATCCTTGAAAGCCATTGATGCAAAAATAAGAGTAAGACAAGGCTGACCTGATACCACTAACAATATTCCTAAATTGTGGTAGGCCGCAGCACCACGTGGCAAAGTGTAGCCAGAGAGAAGACAGCAATAAGCAAGACCGATAAAAAGACTTTAGAAGATCTGAATTTCCCACGTGTGGATGATTTATGTCTACTAGTCACATAAACTCGAAGACCTACACAGTTGAAACCCGAAAAAAAGTTGGCAGAAGAGGCAGACAGCAAAGACAGGACTCCATTCAAGTGAACACATGGAGAAGACAAAGGTGGTGAAGATAACCAACCAACCAACAACAACAACAAAAAAGCAGGCGCAAACAACTATCAACGGAAGAGAATTGAAAGTGGTCATACATCTTCCAATTGTCTAAGAAACACAGTTTAAACTACAGATGACAGCATGGATAAGGATGTCCAAACCAGAATTTGTGAAGACAACGGAGACCTTCATTACTCAGCATAAGGAATAAGACTTGGATTTTTTAATGCTTATGCCTAGCCAATGCTTCTCTATATGGCTTAGATATTTAGTGCGTCCTCAAAAACATTCCCAATAGGTATCTGCAGACTTTTATCAACAGCTGCCACCGTCGTTCTATACCGAGAATCGAATGGTCGTCCAAAGAGGATTTATTTTATTTTTTTATTTTGATTATAGCTTGATTCCACACCGTATTTTTTTGATACAAGTATGGAATTTTCGGCATGTGATCTCGGTAGCCAAAATCATCCAGGCCAACCAACCACTGACATCAAGTGTGCGTCGGCAGGGAATCGGACCCCGGACCATGTGCATGGTCAGCGACAGTCCCAAAACGCTGTGCCACCAACACACAAGGAAATTTGAGAATGAAATGACTAAGATCCTATCGCCCAACATATATATATATATATATATATATATATATAAGTGAAAGGAAATGGAGATGGATCTGACACAAGCTGAGGAGACCGATGAGTGACACATCACGAGCCAGACCCTCAAGTGTTTCCCAAATAGGAAACGATCAGTCGGGTATCCGAGAGGGATATTGAGGAAGTCGTGTGAGTAGGAGGAGGAGATGACGACTGTAGGGCCAGATAAAGATGACTGCAGAGGACATGATGAAATAAACGTGTTTTGTTGAAGCCCTACGTTATACTCAGTACCCAAGGGAGTAATACTGTGGTGAGAGCTGGCTGTTAGTCAAAATTGGTAGACAGTGATTTACGTCAATGTTTATGTGCCTCAATATTGGTTGTGAGAAAAATGAGAACAAAGACTTTGCGTAGGCGGATACAGTTAGCATATAGATGATCTGTTGCCTGGCCCTTGTCTTCTGTTGTTACAATACTATCACAACCCTCAAATTGTGAAGAATGAGAGTACAGACAACCTTACTTTTAATGGTCCTTTAGCTGATATAGAAAATAATGACACCAACTCTTAAATCGACGAAGAGGTGTAGTGGCAAAATACAGTCAGTCAGTCAGCAGAAAAACACGATGCGAAAACCACTATGCGCAATTAGTTAAAACAAAAACGGATTAACCTTTTTCACAAAAAAAAATTAAAAAGCTAGAGAAAAAAAATTTCACATTGGTCAAAAAACAAACCTTGAGGTGTAGTAGAACCGGAAGATCTAAATGTTGTTCTAGCTGTTTTTCTATTTCTTCCAGTTATCGATTTCTCACGCATATCATTGACAACCACCCGACCCTGAAAAAAATATGCACACACACATACACAGAGGTTAAATGATGATATACGCATATATCTCACAGTAAATGAATCATTAGCAGTTTACATGTATATATAAACAAATACCCATTTTCTGATTAATTAGCTGTTCATTCTCTGGATGAGGTGAAAATATTCTAACTATGCGATGTTGTACAAGATTTGAGAACAACAAAATTCTGTGAAAACTAAACGGTTATTATATATTATTATTGTTTCCTTTAATTCCTAGAGGAACAAGGGCTTCAGTCGCGCGTCTCCATTGCGTTCAGTTCTGTGCTAGAGTTTTCACTTGGCTCCAAGTCTTCCTACATGATTTCATCTCCTCGTTACATCACCTCCTCCAAGTTACCCTTGCACTGACGACCAACTCGCCGCCTCCCTTTCGGGTTCCAATTGAGCGATGGCTTTTCTAGTGATGTCACTTAATGGTTTATTTTCTCAGAGTATGGCCAGCCAATTCATCTCCATTTCTTCCTGTCTATTTGTTGCACAATCGGTTCCTGTTGGTTGGTTTGCTGATTGCCAGAGATCCCTGTTGCTGATCTTTTCTGGCCGGCCATGTGATCTTGAGTAGTGAGCGAAGACAATTGTGTATGAAGGTCTGTAGTTTGTTCGAGATGCTCTTTATGATGCAGTGCAAGTCTCAGATCCGTATCATAAGTAGCACTGACTTCACACTGAAGTTGAAAATCTGGATCTTATATTCATTTTCATGCTGAGTGCTGTTGACCTCCACACAGACTAAACGAAGTAGAAACAACATAGTCTACAAATTATCACATAGTCGTAAATATTTGTAGCTCAGTACAGAGCGAATAAATAAATAGGTGGAGAGTTATGCATCTACCCTTGTTCACTGATCATCATCACAAACTTCCTGAAGATATTATGAAAGTCACCTTAAATACATAAATCTTTATTATTTTTTTATTGCTTTACGTTCCCAGTGGAACATAAGGATTCAAGCTAGGCTCCTGAAGCTTCGGCAGCAGTGGTGTTTATTTTTTAAGGGATTGAGTTGCTATCCTCATGCCCACCCCCCTCCAATCTACCCTCTTTACCAGTCTAATTACTGGCTTAGCGAGGTAAAGGAGTGCGTCAGCCGGGGATCTATCCTCAGACCATATGCGTGGTTGGCAAGCATTCTACCGCTGTGCCACCGACGCACATAAACCTTTATGTAAACAGTATATGATTACGTAATTAAGTACACTATTCATTTTACAGCTATACTGACAGATTTTGGGTTTCATTTCTTGAAGGAGTCTGTTTGTATTCAGTTTCATTTTATTGAATTCGGCGGATTTCTTCTCTTCAATGTCTGTCTGTCTGTTTTCGACATAGAACTTTGCACAAATGTGCGGAAGTTCAAGTCGCCACATTCCGTGTAGCACGCGAAGCAAGAGAAGAAAGTACAAGAAAAGCATAATAGAAACAGTGAGCAGAGGTGTGAGACAAAGGAGTAATAAATAAATACAAAACAGTTTCATTGAAGATCATAAGTCACAGGGAGTGGATGCATCTGCGCCACTGAGAACGATTTTGAGCCATGTCACCAATTGTTTCCAACCATAGATTTTTGCCGTCCCGAGGACCCCAGCCTGGAAGTCTACACCTTCCTACGTGGCTTAGACCAACTGTTATGGATTTCATTGACTGGTGCCAAGTTTTTGTTTGACCGCCGCTAGCTTTTTTCCAGCCTGACCCTATATCCGCTAACATAGCTCGTCGAGGGAGGCGATGACTTGGCATACGTAACACATGTCCTAACCATCTCAGTCGATGTAGCTTCACGACTTCGTCGATTGATTTCCCCTCCTTACCTAGAACTCTACGCCTAACCTCCATGTTGCTCACCTTATTATGCCACTTTACACGGGAAATAGAACGCAGGCACCTATGATCAAAGGTAGCTAGTCTTTTCATGTCTTCCACTCTCAGTGGCCAGGTCTCACAACCATAAAGGAGGACGGAGCGGACTGATGAGCAGTACACCCGCCCTTTGGTCGATAGTCGAACATCTCGTCTACGCCAGAGTCGGCGTAAACTAACAAATGCGAAACGAGCCCCTTGTATTCGTGCTGAGATTTCGTCAGAGATCAGCCCGTTGGGGCTGATGGTACTTCCCAAATAAGTGAAGCGGTCAACGTGCTCTACCACTTCACTTCCTATTTTTAAACTAGGCGTCGATGTAGTCCAGTCCTGTAACATCATCTTGCATTTGGCGGGAGCGAATCGCATGCCAAACATTCGTAGATTGCTGTTCAAGGTGTTTAGAAGACTCTGCATTTTGTCAGCGTCTTCGCCTAGAAGGACTATATCGTCTGCATATTCCAAGTCAACGAGATTATTCCCAGGTAGCAAGTCAATCCCTGAATCGCTGAAGTCACCTAGGGTTAAGTCCATTAACACATCTATGATGAAGTTGAATAGAAAAGGAGATAATGGGCATCCTTGACGGACACCACTGGTCGTCATCAGTTCAGATGACAGCTCGCCGTAAGCCCTCACCTGGCTGTATGAGTACGAGTAGAGTGCCTTAATCAGTGCAATATATTTTCTTGGAATTCCCTTTACAGCCAAGCATCTCCAGAGAACTTCCCGATCGACAGAGTCGAATGCTGCCTTTAGGTCAAGAAATATAATGACTGTTGGACGCCGGTAGGAATGCCTATGTTCTAGAATCTGTCGGAGGGTGAAGATATGATCAATACACCCTCTTCCTGGTCTAAAGCCTGCCTGGCTCTCTCTTGTTTGTGACTCCCGAGCACCACTCAGTCTACGCATGATTACTGAGCCTAAGACTTTAGATACTATATTAGTCAAGCTAATCCCTCTGTGATTATCACAGGAAGACTTGTCTCCCTTCTTGTATATGGGGATAATCAGTGACTTACACCAACCCGATGGGACTTCTTCTGATTCCCAGACGCTGCCTAGTACCTCAGTTAATCCGGACAGTAAGCTGTCTCCACCGTACTTAAATACCTCTGGCGTCATTCCATCAGGTCCCGCTGCTTTGCCTAGTTTCAGATTGGTGACAGCTTTAGTAACCTCAGTTAGTGACGGAGGACCTGTATCTATATCCCATTCAGGGAGGTGTTGGATGCTCGGAAGGTTGAGCGTGGCTGTAGGCAAATTAAACTGCTCCTCATAATGCTCTTTCCAACGATCCAGTCGTCTATCCTGGGAGCTAATTATAGTGCCATTTTTTTCCGAGATTGTCTCACTAATGATTTGTCTTCTCCCACCCGTTTCCCTGATGAGTCCAAAGAGTTGCCTGGTGTTGCCTATCCTCAAAGCTTTCTCCATCTCTTTGGCTTTTGTCGCCCACCACTGTTCACGGTCCTTGCGGAGACTTTTCGTAAGTTTCCTCTTGTGCAGCTTTCGCTCCTCATTGAATTCGGAGCTCGCCGGAATAAGTCTTCTAGCATCTATCAGTTCGGATGAGGCGGTGGAGATCCAGTGGTTTTTACTCACCTTTGGATTTACCTTATTCACAGCTTTTACAGCTGTATCTATGGCTGCCTGGATATTTTTCCAAGCTTCTTCAGGGTGAGCACAGCTGTCGAACACAGATATGTGTTTAGCTAGTTCTTCCTGAAATACGGATTTAGTTTCCTGATCGAGCTGGGGACGTGATGGTTTTACCGCCAGCTGTTTCCTACGTCCGTTCAGTCGTAAGCACACCCGAGCCCGGACCAGTGCATGGTCGGTATCTACGCACGTGTTCCAGAAGGAGCGACAATCTCCTACCGACCCACGCCAACGATAGCTTATTGCTATGTGGTCTATTTGTGTCCAGCGTTGGTTTGACGAAGGGGGTCTCCAAGTCAAACAGTGTCTCTCCTTGTGTTTGAAGTTAGTGCTTGCAAGAAACAAATGATTATCAGAACAGAACTGTAGTAGACGGTCACCGTTGTCGGTTCGCTGGCACGGAGCTCCATAGGTGCCACCGACATCCTTCTCAGATTGACACAATTTCCCTACTTGAGCGTTAAAGTCACCAGCTAGAACGACTATGTCTGAGCGTTTAGCCTTTCTCACCAAACTAGACAACTTTTCGTAGAACTCATCCTTCGTTTCATCTGAACTGCAGTCAGTGGGGGCGTAGGCGGAGATTACGAAAAGGCATCGGCGAGTAGTGCAGTCCTTCCTCCTTCTTACTGATCCGTTCAGGCGGACAGCACACATTCGGCTATCTACTGGGATCCAGTCAAGCAATGTCTTTTCTGCCCTAGTACTCAAAGCTATCCCTACGCCAGCTAATCCTCGTGAACTAGCTGTGGCATCTCCTGACACCCTCAAGGTGAATTTTGCAGATTCAACCTGTTGGCCAGGTGGGGTTAGGTGAATAACCACACTTGGGTCTTGTATGCGTGTTTCTGAAACACAGCACACATCAATGGCTCGTGATGCCAGGGTCTTGGCTAGTGATGCTTGTTGTCCTATTTGGCAAAGTGTCCTAACATTAAATGCTCCTATATGAAATTGGTGGCGCGGCTTTAAGAGGCTGTCGATGGTGGTTTTTTGGCTTCCATCGTTTTTAGTGGACGCAGAGTGGAGAGAAAGTGGAGAGCTATCAAGTCGAGGAGTTGCATCAGTGGAAGGAAGGCAAGATGATAGAGATGAAGATGAAGACAAAGATAAGTGAGGATTAGAGAGGTTTTGTGTGCGTTTTGGATTGTGAGGGCGATTGTTACTTCCCGGCTGCCCACACCGTGGAAGTTGGTTGCGTGACCGCAGAGCCCAGGGGACAACTGCTTGAGGCCGGTCACACGCGGCCTGCTTTTGTTCGTTCTTCGTTGTTTTGTGTGCCTCAGTAGCTGATTTATCACTCCCGCCCTGTGACACGGCAGCAGGAAGCGCGGTCGTTGTTAATCCGGGCCACGGCCGATCCGGCATGAAATTTTGTAATTTTGTATTGGACATGATGTTGGATTGGGTAGCTGCTTTTTGTTTAACCGCTATCCAAA